AGATCGAGACCATCCTGGCTAACACGGTGAAACCCCGTCTCTACTAACCATACAAACCAGGTGAGCCCTACAATTACCCAGCTTGCTTTCTGGAGAGAGTTTCCAGATTGCAGCTAAAGGAGGGAAAAACAGGCAGATAGCAGCAGAGATGGACATGGTGCTGAGAGTTTGAGGAGGCCATGGTGACTAGACTTTGCAGGACAGAGTGCCAGATAGAGCTCCACAGAGAGCTCCAGAGATCATAAGAGGATTCTATTCAAATGTTAGCAGACAATGGGTCGGTGCCTGCATGTAAATATATTTCCTGAGGCCAGAACAAGAACCACTCAAAAAAGTTACAAGGAACAATGTCAGGAGCATATACAATCTTAATAATACTTCCTGTTCCCACCAGCAGAGAGGAAAAGTTCATAATTCGCAGGGCACTGGGTAGAATACTCAGAGAGAGTTTTGCTCCATAGTGTAGTAAAATAAACCATAGACTGAATATTTGGTTCCCACCTAACGAAGTTTAAAAGCAAGGCCTAAGAGGATCAAACATTTGATCCTTATTTGAAATACGTTTTCAAATAACTATATCCCAGAACAAAGCTGAAGAATATTTATAGGAATACAAAAATAGCTAAAGTAAATTTATAATGTTTGGCATCCAATAAGAAATTACCAGGCATGCAGAGAAGCAGGAAAATACAACCAATAGTGACAAGAAAAAAAGCCAACAAGTGAAACCAATGCAAAAATGACACAGATGATAGAATTAGTAGACAAAGACATTGTAACTGTAACAATTGCATGCATTAATGAGGCTAGAGGAAAGGTTGAGCAAATAAAGAGATATAATATATATAAGAAACCCAAAACTAATGTCTACAGATGAAAGCTATAATGTCTGAGATCAGAAATACACTGGATGAGATTAATAGGTTAGATATTCCAGAAGAAAAGATGAGTGAAGTTGAAGACGTAACCATTGAAACTATTCAAAATGAAACAATGTAGGCTGGCCAATATGGCAAAATCCTGTCTCTACCAAAAATATAGAAATTAGCCAGTTGTGGTGATGCACACCTGTAGTCCCAGCTACTGGGGCAACTCGGGTAGGAGAATCGCTTAAACCCGGGAGGCAGAGATTGCAGTGAACTGAGATTGTACCACTGCACCCCAACCTGGGCAACAGGGTGAGAGTCTGTCTCAAGAAAAAAAAAAAAAAAAAATTCAAAATGAAAGTGAGAGAAACAAGACTGAAAAAAAAGTCCAGAAAATCTGTCAATTGTGAGACAACTTCAAGTTATGTGTAATTGTAGTTACCAGACAGAGAAGGAGACAAAAAAGAAAAGAATATGTGCAGGAAAAAAATGGACACAATTTGTTCAAATTTGATGAAAACTGTAAACTCAGAGATCTAGCAAGTTCAATGAACACCAAACACAAGAACCATGAAAAGAAATATTTCAAAGGAGATATAATCAAAAGGCCTAAAATTAGGGATGGAGAAAATCTTAAAAATAGCTAGGGGCAAGACATTACATATAGAACAAAGATCAGACTACTCATCAAATACACTGTAAACCAAAAAACAGTTCAGTGAGATATTTAGAGTACTGAAAGGAAAAACAAACTGTCAATCTAGAATTCGATATCCAATGAAAATATCTTTCAAAAATAAAAGTAGTGGACCGGGCATGGTGGCTCACACTTGTAATCCCAGCACTTTATGAGGCTGAGCCAGGAGGATTACTTGAGCCCAAAAGTTCAAGACCAGCCTTTGCAATATAGCAAGACCTCATCTCTAGAAAAAAAAAAAATTAAAAATCTGGATGCAGTGATGTGTTTCTGTAGTCCTGGCTACTCAGGAGGCTGAGGCAGAAGGATCACCTGAATCCAGGGGTTTGAGGCTGCAGTGAGCTGTGATTGTGCCACTACAGTCCAGCCTGGGCAACAGAGTGAAACCTTGTCTCTTAAAAAAAAAAAAGTTTTAAAAGAAGCAAAATGTCTGACATTTTGATACAAAGGCCCAAAGGGAAGACCTGGGAGTATTGCTTTACCATTCTTACATATGAAATGGTATATATCACTTCAAGGTAGACCAATAAGTAACCAGTAAAATAACACAAAAGTTTTGTTGGTAAGGCAACAAAGGAGATAAAATGTAACTATAAAAATAATTATAAAGAAAAGATGCGACAAATAGAAAACAAACAGCAAGATGATAGACTTAAACCCAATCATCTAATCACATTAAATGTAGATGAACTAAACACCCTAGTGAGATTAGATTAAAAAGCAAGACTCAACTATATGCTGCCTATAAGAAATTCGTTTAAATATGTAGGTACAAATGAGTTAAAAGTAGAGATGCAAAAAGACATATACCATGCTAACACTAATCAAAAGATAGATTATGTGGCTTTATTAATATCAAAGTATATTTCAAAGCAAAGAATATTAATGAGAGTATCTATTTTATATTGTTATGTAACAAATTGCCACAAACTCAATGGATTCAAACCACACAAATTGATTAACTGTCAGTTTTCTGGGTCAAGAGATCAGATACAAGTTAACTCAACTCTTTGCTCAGGATATCACTAGGGTGAAATCAAAGTGTCAGCCAGGGATGCGATCTCATCTTTCAATTTTCTTAGAAGCTCATTGGAAAAATTGTCTTCCTTTTAGATGTGCAATGGAGGTTTTCATTTTTGTATTAGTCCGTCTTCATGCTGCTGATAAAGACATATCCAAGACTGAGAAGAGGTTTAATTGGACTTACAGTTCCACATGACTGAGGAGGCCTCAGAATCATGGCGGGAGGCAAAAGGCACTTCTTACATGGTGGCAGCAAGAGAAAATGAAGCAAAAGCGGAAACCCCTGATAAACCCATCAGATCTTGTGAGACTTATTCACTATCGTGAGAATAGCACAGGGAAGACCGGCCCCCATGATTCAGTTACCTCCCCGTGGTTCCCTCCTGAATCCTGGGACATAGCCAAACCCTATCAATCTTCTAGAG